TGCTGGGGTTCTTCTCAGAGCAGACATTTCTCTGGTCTCTGTAGCTGACAGCTCAACTTCCCCCCCTTGTGAAAACTACATACTCCTATCCTCTCTTTCTTGACTTTCAACCATACTTCTATCCACACAAAGAAAACATGAATTAAAAGATGGAATCAGGGAGTTAAAAGTATGCAGTTGGCATCCATAGTTGGACAGATCAACAGTGGAGCCCTGAAGCAATCTGTCTGGGAACCCATGCTTATCTGTGTGGTCATAGCTGGGTAAAAAAAGAGTGTGAAGTAAGTTCATATTGGTCATGAACTACAGTGGTACTGGAGCCAAAGGTCAGCTGTGAAGAAACAGAGAATGACCCTGTGATAATGAGTGGGCAGTAAAACAGCATGTGCTGTTCAGTGTAAATAAATTTAAATGACAAGGGGAAACAGCCCCAAATTCATATATAAAGTAGTGGGCTCTGATCTGACCATCACCACTTGGGACGATGTGGAAAAGGTAGAAATTTGCAGTCTGGGAAAGATGTGTGTGATAGTGGTCGGAGTGGTCTGGAGAGGGGTGGTGGGGATCCGCAGTTCAATGTCCGGTCCAGTACAGGAGCTAGGAGTGAGTAGAGGCAGCTTTAGACAGAAGTGATTTTTTTTCTTTCCATGCAGAGTGAAACTCCTCACCACGGTACGTGGGGGTGTTAGGAGCTTAACTGAGTCCAAGGGGAGACTGGAGAATATGGAAGAGATCCATCAGATTCAGAGCAGTTCTGAGCTGCAGATCGCTGGAGTTTGGGGGACTGGCTGGAGGAGGAGTCACTGCATGCTGTCTAGTCTCATACCCCTTCATTCGTAGCTGCTTCTGGCACTGTGGGCAGAGGGGTGCTGAACTAGGACAGACCTTCAGGCTGACTGTACAGGCTTAAATTTAGAAAGGCTGGTTAGCAAAAATCCTAGTTCATGTACATATCATGTATGCATGTATAAACGCATACAAATATACATGTGGCATGTTGGAGTTCTCACAACAAAATGAGGCTGGACTGACCAAGTATGTTGGAGACGAACCTGCTGAGTGTGCTTTCTCCCATGCCCTTCAGAATCTGTGCTGAGACTGGGCAAGTGCTTCTTTACTCCAGAAGAGCTGGCGTACAGACTTTGGGGGATGTGCCAGGTTGCCGTTGATCTGCCTGTTGCTTTCGGGATCTCCATTAGAAAGGAACAGGCACCCTCTCCGCTCCGATGTAGAGCTCACAACTGGAGAGCTGGGTAGTTACCCGACAACTTCTGCTAATCAAATTGTGTGTAGTAATGTTCAGAACTCTCAGGCAAAAATATAATACACAAAAAGGATTGCTTTGGACCAGAAAGACTTCTCACCTGAGTCTTCCTTGCCCTCTGTCTTTGTTGGCTGACAGCAGTTTGGCTGCTTTCTACTTGCCAGCCTGCTGCAGCAGCAAGTACATTCTCTCTTTTAACAAGCCCACTCTGCTAGTAGAGAAGCTTGCCGCATTTGGGGCCTCAGCTCAATCTTAGTAAAGCTGAGGAACATACCATTTGGACTACTTGAAAACTGCTCTTGTCATGCCCACTAGCCAGGAATTCTGCTGGCTCCCAGGTGATCTGCTGAATTACCAGCTCTGAGGGATAATCACACCAACACTGATTTCATTCTGGGGGATGCATGTGTTTCAGATAAACTCAACTTTCCCAACTCGTATTAGGCAGTAAGCTTTCTTCTTGTCTCTGTGGGACATACATAGAATTTAGGAAACTTTGTCTTACCTTGATTCAAATTAGACGCTTCCTCGTAATGAAATGGTATTGATTTCCTCTTGAGGGTTTAGACTGGGACATCTCATGCAGTAACCAAGAAGATTCAAATGAATTCAATGTCTTGTTTTCTCCCTTGTTCTTCCCTTTTCCCAGTATAAAAATCTGCTTATTCTAGTTCTGCTGCTAACACCGTTGGCTGAATTTTCTTTAAGACCTCAGGGTGACTGAAGGAGATACAGCTAAATGGATGAAAGTACCTGTTAAATCTGCAGTGAAAGAGCGGTAGGGTAACACAGCATATAGGGTTCGCTGAGAGATCTGTAATGTGTTTGCTTGGCATTCAAGCCATGTAGTCATAAAGTAGGTGTTGGCTATTTCAGAATTTGTCATGGTGTAGTCCAGGTAAAAAGGTGGCACTTCTTGACTCTTTCTTTGAGGTCATCTGCTAAGAGGTAGCTGT